AGCAGCTTTATCAAAATTAAAGATAATAAATGTTTTTTACAAAATAACTAATCATTTTAAAAATAATTTTAACTATTTTGAGACATCTCACGTGAATTTCTGCACATTAATTTAAATTTGTGGCTATTTTTTATCTTATTTATACCATCATATATACTTTCTCATCTGATATCTGCTTTGTCATTTAAAGCTCTTCTTCAAGTTACATTTTATGTGACTTTCCGTTTTATTCAAGTTATATCTATTTATGAAGACATGAGCTATGAGTCATTTAATTTCTTATTGGTTCTAATATTTTTCCCCCTCTATTTAGCTACCTACGTGTTAGGTGATCACGTGTCACTTCACGGTTTTTGGGGCTCTGAGTGTTGCGCGGCATATGATTTTCATCAGTTGATTTTCAGAAGCAGATTGCCAGGCGATTCGTCCTGGCCACTCTGCAAGCTCTGCCAACATTTGTTGAAGTCGTACAAGCACGCAAGTCTCCAATAACAGATTTGTGGTGGCTGCACATGACGTACATCGGCACGGAAACAACCATGCATGTCCCAGACGGAAGGTGGTAATTCTAAGCCGGAGCCAACCAGTGGAGATACATGTAGTTCTAAGATATCAGAAAGATCTTGAGGAAGCGTTTGAAAAAGACTCCAACAAGGTTTCTTCCTTTGACAGGAAGGACAATCAAAAAGAACAAAGAGGAGGGGAGCCTAAGAAATAGTTGGAGAAGATGCCTGGCTGAAGTAGAAAACAGGAAAACTGCCAAAAATTAAGATGAACCCATATAATCTGGAACATCAACTGACAAAGATATAGGAAAAAGAAAGTATTTGCGAGTGTTAGGATTAGTAGGGCTATCACACATATAAAGTGGATTAGAGGCCTGGAAAGAGTATGTGTGTTTTATTTCTAAACACTTGGTTCTAGAAGCTGTTGAAAGGCTTTGGCATGAGTATATGCTTATAAAAACATTGGGGCAAACATCTGAGGCTGCACTTGATTTGACTTCTATGCAAGTTTTGGCCTTGGTTTCTTAAGCATTCTCTTGCATGATAGTGTTACAAGGTACAAGTCATTAAGTAAACAAAGCATTACATAGTTTATAATGTGTCTATAATACAGAGCTCACATACATTATAATGTTACTGTTGATGATGGTGGTTGCTGTTAGGTCAATTTCAACTCATAGGTCCCCACTAGCAGAGGAGAACTGCCCCATCGGGTTTTATAGTCTGTAATTTTTAAGATCTGAACCTAACTCCCCTTCAGTCAGCTGAGGGCAAAGAAGGTCATTGCTTGTTCATTCAGAATAGCACTCACTCATCTTTCAAGACCAAGTGACCCAGAGCTAAGCAA